CGAGGGATTAATTTATCTCCATCAGTTGCACCGCTCTGCTCTTTTATTACTGATGAATCATCCGGTGGACCGAATCAATTCTTGAGTGTGTAAACAAAGTTAATGTACATATTGATATTGAGCGCTCATCGTAACCTTGACCACGTGCCTCGGAATACGCTACCGGAAATTTAAATAGTCGTAGAATTTCAAAATCAACAGGAAACATCACTTATTTGCAAGTTTCATCTGTGAAATATTATTCATATAAATTGATTATTTAATTCAAACAATTTCATTTATCCGACTAAACGTTGACTTGCAATGTAAAAATGATCATAGAATTGTACGATACGAAGCAATGGAAATCTACAGGCACTCAAAGGTGACTCATCCAAAGTCAAATGTTTGCCTACGAAATATGAGCAATAATATTCTTATCGGTCATAACTACACTGACCTACTCTCAACTGCAATCCTGACCACTCGCAAGTACCTTTTACGAGATTAATACACAAACGTTGGCGCAAACTACCGACGCCCCGATCCCACGATCTCCCCGCAAACGTTTTTCTGGTTTTTTCATTGGAGTATGTGAAAGTTGATACGCCACTTTGTAATAATTCACGACAGAATCATCAGTTATGCGTCGATTCATTCACAGAAATAATGATTCCAGCAGATCTGAGAGATTAAATTGAGAGAAAAACGAATGAGAAGAACCTGAAAACCAGAAATTTTCAAGTCAAGTCGTTAAGAAGCTGTTGCAAAATGACTCTCAATTAACCTCAATTTGATAATGCACTTGAGTACTCCGTGACATTTGATATATAACAGCAAATGAAAAGAAACGATTTTTTTAAAATGAAAGTTTACCCATTTTTCCTTTTCTTAAAATTGGTTTAGATGCCAATACGAAAGAGCCTTGCGCCTGTCTTCTGCCAACATTGAGCCGACCTTGTTTATTTCACCCACCTAACGTCATTTACCCTCATAATAACTCAATGAACATGAAAGAAACTCATGGATTATCATTTCGCTCATCTCCGTGCTTTAGAGTGCTTTAGAGACATCAGCCCACCATTTTTCGAGCCGCTCTTTCATTTGAGCCCAAAAAAACATTCATATCTTGTCTGACATCTTTGCTACAAACTCGGGCCTTCAACTCGGGCTTTCAATTGAAGGCCCGAGTTGTAGACCCGAGTTTGTAGCAGCGATGTCAGACAAGATATGAATGTTTTTTTGGGCTCAAATGAAAGAGCGGGTCGAGAAATGGCGTGCAGGGGCCTCTAAAGATGGTCTTGAGCCAGGGGAGACTCCTCCACCCCAATGTTCTATAGACACTCCTAGACCCCATTGCCCTACTAGACAATGTTGTCACAACTCTGCTTTTCAATTGAAAACAGACATCATCTTTAGAGACATTTGTCATGTTTAGAGGCCCTAGCACGCCATTTCTCGACCCGCTCTTTCATTTGAGCCCAAAAAAACATTCATATCTTGTCTGACATCGCTGCTACAAACTCGGGTCTACAACTCGGGCCTTCAATTGAAAGCCCGAGTTGAAGACCCGAGTTTGTAGCAAAGATGTCAGACAAGATATGAATGTTTTTTTGGGCTCAAATGAAAGAGCGGGTCGAGAAATGGCGTGCTAGGGCCTCTAAACATGACAAATGTCTCTAAAGATGATGTCTGTTTTCAATTGAAAAGCAGAGTTGTGACAACATTGTCTAGTAGGGCAATGGGGTCTAGGAGTGTCTATAGAACATTGGGGTGGAGGAGTCTCCCCTGGCTCAAGACCATCTTTAGAGGCCCTAGCACGCCATTTCTCGACCCGCTCTTTCATTTGAGCCCAAAAAAACATTCATATCTTGTCTGACATCTCTGCTACAAACTCGGGTCTACAACTCGGGCCTTCAATTGAAAGCCCGAGTTGAAGACCCGAGTTTGTAGCAAAGATGTCAGACAAGATATGAATGTTTTTTTGGGCTCAAATGAAAGAGCGGGTCGAGAAATGGCGTGCTAGGGCCTCTAAAGATGGTCTTGAACCAGGGGAGACTCCTACACCCCAATGTTCTATACATACTCCTAGACCCCATTGTCCTCCTAGACAATGATGTCACAACTCTGCTTTTCAATTGAAAACAGATATCATCTTTAGAGACATTTGTCATGTTTAGAGGCTCTAGCACGTCATTTCTCGACCCGCTCTTTCATTTGAGCCCAAAAAAACATTCATATCTTGTCTGACATCGCTGCTACAAACTCGGGTCTACAACTCGGGCCTTCAATTGAAAGCCCGAGTTGAAGACCCGAGTTTGTAGCAAAGATGTCAGACAAGATATGAATGTTTTTTTGGGCTCAAATGAAAGAGCGGCTCGAGAAATGGCGTGATGATGCCTCTAAAGATGGTTCTGAACCCGGGGAGACTCCTAGACCCCACTGGACAGTGTTGTCACAATTCTGCTTTTGTTTATTCCACGCCTCAACGTCGTATATCGGCATAAGTCGATGAAAATGAATAATATCGCGTGAATAGGAAACCGCTATCTCCCGATTTACCCGAAATAACGAGATTCGACCTCGGATATCTCACAATAAACTCCACTCCCATAAAAATTTCTAGTGACCTCGCGGAAGGTCACCTTGCCGGCGCCAAAATCGCTAAAACCAAATGGATTCATAAACTATGTATTCCGCCCAAAACACCTCGACACACACGCCGAGTTGAGTAATGCCTTTTGTACGCGTATGCACGTCCCCTTCATTACGCAAATCATTTTCAGTTTATAAATAGGAACCGCTATTTGGCAACCACTGTTGTTTACCAAGTCCGTCCATATACGGAGGATCATGGCTTATGTATACGTATTCATACGCTCATTTTTCTGGTGTGTCGGTGAGGACTGGGTGTGCGCATAGTCCTCTCTCCTCCCTCGCATCTCTCTCTCGCGCCAGCTGAACGCGAAGCATTGACGAGTAAAAATTAAAATGCGGAAAATCTTGAAGCGAATTATCACGAAAAGAATTGAAATCAACGAAATTAACTAGCTGACGAGCTTTGCTGTTTCTATTCACGAACAAAATGCGTGAGTGTCCTCTAGATATCTTGGCTTGCCCTCGGGGAATTATCAATACCTGAACTGAATGGAAAAACTTTTCTCTCTCTCTCATTCTGTGTGAATGCACATCTATGTGCGGTATGAAAAATCGTTGCGCATGCGAATTTGCACATAATGTCTGCGAGCATCGTGAGAATATAAAGTGAACCTGAGATTGTGTTCATGTGTTCAACGGTATTGTCTGAGAATATGGTGATATTTATTTCACTATTTTTCAGCTATTCTTTTGAAATAGGAGGAGTTGGGGGTCAAGCGGGGAAAGTATCAGCTGCGGGTTCTCAACCCTCGGTTATTGTTTCAGAAATGTTCACGTTGGAACAGGGATAGCCATGTTCATAAATCATAATTACCGTGGAATTTTGAAGCCGCCAATTACTTAATATCACTCTTAAATTTTTAATTATTTAAGTAATCATTAATTTAGGTAAGAAGATTGATGATTATTTGATTAATCGAAAATCCCTTTTACGAAATTAGAATGATTTACTCATCAATCGCAAATTTAAATTATTAATGTTATACTATTTTTAAATTTTAATGCCCCCGAGGGTCATAAAGGTCAGAACATTCGCACTTTCTGTTTTTTTAACCAAATAGTGCAGTTGAGAGTATCATCTCATGAATGGATGCAGAGAAGAGTGCATATTGTCGATGGGGATAGGAGGAAAACTCCCGAGCGAAACTCAAAGCTTCAATTTCAATTGTAAAACGAAATTCCATCCATTGTGTTGTGAACATACCCTAGGAAAACTGGGAAGGTATTGCGATACTCGGGTATTTCAGGATTAAATGATATCACAGGCAGAATATTCACCGTCTCGAGTAACAGTGCATCGTGAGAGGAAAAAATGCCATCGAATAAAATATGACAGGGGGAATAAAATACATGGAGACTGAATTTTCGCACTATGAAACAGCCTCCGACGCTTCCCTGAATATGCATACATATTCCATTTGATTTTCAACGGCTGCGCGGAGAAAAAGGTTGGAGAAAATTTTAAAAAACAAGTCACACTGTTGTAAATTTTTTGAAAGTTAAGAAATAGTTCCACTTGAATTCTCATTCAGGTGGAAAATTCGGGGAATTGTTGCTTAAATTTTCAAATTATTTAATATTTTCATAGTAATTTAATTTTCATAATAATTAATTATTAAATTATTATGAAAATTCAATTATGAGATTATTAAATAATTTCATTTAATAATTTAATAATTTTCATTATCATTTGGACCCGAAAATGGCAATTCCATTGAATACCTCAGAATTCAACAGATTTTTCAATAACAAAATACATGAAAATTTCGTGTGAGTGAGTGATTGTTAAAAATTTCAAGATTTTTTCCTTGAAATTTCAGGAGTAATTTTCTAAATAGTGCGAGTGGAATTCATTTCTAGATTATTTTTAAATAATTTTTATCCAGCCTTTCTCTCCGCGTATCCTCTTACGTGATTAACCGGGCCTCAGTAGCCATTACGTCGAATCAGGTCGAAGCGGCACTAAATAATGATACGTTTTTTCGCATCGCTCCGCGGACACTGTATTCTGCGGGTGCATGTCCGCGGATTTTTCTGTTTTTTTTTTTTCGTGAGAGGAGAGTAACAGACGCCCATTGTTCCGGCGCGAACGACGGACCTGTGTATCGCACTTGTTTACGATCTTTCGATACGCCCACGGGGTTTCGTTTCGCTACACGCGAGGTAGTGGCGGCTAAAATCCAGGGGAATGCCCGTGGAACGGAATCCGCACGGAGACGAACCCGCGGAACCAATCGGCATCGAGAAAACGAAATTGCCGGGAAAATCTCGAGATGTGATTGGTTACACGGATGGGTCTCAAGAAAATCAAGATATTTCATGATAAAGTAGAATTCAAAAATTTTATTGGTGAAAGGACTCACCTTCTTGTCGAGATTGTTCGGGTCCGGGAGCTGAAAAAAAAATAGAAGAAAATTAATAAAATTAATAAAATTAATCAATTAAATATATATTAATTATTGAATTTCAGGCTCTAGTTTTACTACTCCGCTGGCAAAACAGGTGTCTTCAAGAGACCTGTCATCTCGCCAGTTCGTCAATTCATGTCATAATTAAATAAAGGAGAAAAATCAATTAAAAAATAAAAATTAATTCCCAAACTTCAAATCGAGGTTTTTTGCCTTCCCAAACGATTTTGCAGGTCCGATCAACATTTGATGATCCCACCTGCTGACTATACGCCATATAAAAAGTATTAAATTAAAAATAAACCATTAGTTCCTAAACTGTAAAATTCCATTTCTAACCCATCCCAAATTATTCCCAAATGATTGGAATTGGTTTTCATCCGGAAATTGATTATCAACGCGCTAGATACATTATCATCTGATAATAGTGAGTTTCCGCGTGATTCTGGAGTTTCTAGCGGGAGCTGAAGGAACCGAGAGGTCTAGCCTCGCTCTCCTAACTGTCGGCAATCGAGAGAGTCTCCCAGAGGGTCTTATCGACGTCCGGTAACTAGAAACTTCACGTCGCAATTTTCTGTCTCTGGATTTTTGACAGAGTTCCCTCAACAACATTCAGATGTCACGCGGCAAATTCAATTCGCACAAATTGCTATAAATTGAGCATAATTGCCAGCGATCTGTCCAGAACGGTAGGAACCCAATTTCATCGCGTGCTAAAATCAATTTCAACCGCAGATAATATGTCGTCGCTGGGAGACCTTTATTACCTCGTTAATAACAGTTGTGTGGGTGTAGTAATAACAGAGGAATGGGGAAAATCAATTGGATGAAGGTTCTCCGATGAATTACGAATGTGCCTCCCACGCTGCTTGAAATTTCATGAAATTCAATTGTATCGGAATTCAATGTTCGTTGGGATTGGTCGGGTATTTTGTAACTGACTCAAAGCGGAAGTGGTGTAACACTGATCAAATTTAGCTTCGATATAAAACCAATGAATTTTTTAAATCCCTGTCACTCACCCGTCAAAGGAACATTCAATGTTCGAGTGAATTCCGGGATCTATCGCTTGAAAAAAATATATATTCGCGAATGTATTTATTCATTTATTATTTACTTATTTATTTTATTGAAAAATTGCGAGAATTTTTTTTTTTCATTGACTGATCATCAATTGAAAGAAAATAGTCAAAGATGGCAATGATTCGTGACGACAGCAGTGTTTTCAGGACGAACAAACGAGTAACAAATGATTCCTTAGGAGGAACAAATGAAACAAAGTCTTGCTTCGTGTAAGAGGGGCTATATATCACCTCATATAGCCCCATATAGCCTCATATATATATATGTTGTGCGCCGGGAGCATATTTTTTTCACACGGCATCACGTGACTTCAAATTGATTTCATCGCATTCATTAATTATTTCAAGCAATTTTGAAATGAGTTTAGTTGGAAACATTACCATGTAACCAAACAGCTAAATCATTTGTTCCTCGTCACTTGACACAACTTGAATAACACGATACAACGTGAAGATGCTCCTAACGAAGCAGGCTAATTGAATTTTCGTTGACTCTTTCCTCACCGCTGATTTCTGTACGACGAATAGCCGAGCTGATTAGCCAGCACAAGCGGATTCGTTATGGCCCTCCCGTACTTGGATTTAAATTCATCGGGAATTGTCGGCTGCGGAAAAATGGATCATCTTTCAGAAAATGCAGCAATCAACGCTGAGAGGATTTCTCGGGATGAAAAAAATCGTGTAGACGCGGGGAAAGAGTTGCGGAGTCTCATGGAGCGTGATATCAAAAGGGATTTGATTGTTCGGCTCCTTCGGGAATGCCGATGTCGATAAAAACGGAGGGAATAAAATGCAAATAACTCGGGCGTTTTGCGAAACCGTTTCGGTTATCTTCGTGGGAGGTGCGGTGTGACAGGGGCACTGATACTAGACATTTTTTTATGGCTGGAGAGGTATTTTGGGGGTCTTCGAACGAGATGACGAAGCAGCGAGTGAATGCAATATTGATTATAAAATCAACTCAACGATTTTGTAACATCAGAGCTTTCATTTCAGCCCCATTTGACCCAGTTTCCGGACATTTCATAATCATTTTATTATTTAAACTTTGCAGGTCTGAATTTAAATCTCGATATTAAACCGTTGGAAAGCGTTTTAAAAAACTGAAAAAATTGGAAAGTTTTCTCACGCAATTTAATTGACAAATTTGATGATTAAAAGTGGTTGAATCTATTCACAGAAAATTCCTCCCGAAATTTCAAATTAAAAATCTTGAAATTTTTAACAATCACTCTTTCACACGAAATGTTCATGTATTTTGTTATCGAAAAATCGAAAAAATTGAACTGTAATTTTCAGGTCCACGTAATGAAAAATATTAATTAATTTGAAAAATTTAGCTCAACGATTCCATGAACGATTCAATCTCAAACTGAATTCAAATTAAAATCATTGAGAATTCAACTGCAACTATCACTGAATTCTAAAAAAATTTCTAACACTAAAGTGTGGCGTGTAGCAAACTGCAAAAGATACTCGGCCATCCTCAATTGTATTCAAATAAACTTTCCTCCCATCCCCACGCAGTTTCGTCAATCATCATTGCGCATAATTAGTCGGTCACAGAGCTAGTTGTCATTATGCATTTTGCTGACTCGACGAAACCGCTCGCTCTCTCATGTTCCCACCATTAAAAGTCGTTGAAAGTAGAATATTGCACACTTGCTCTCCTCGTTATTTATAATTCCCCGAATCAATTTTTCAAGTGACCCTGTCTGACTGGCAACACCCGAGCAAATAACGTCGCGTTTAATTTTCTAAATGGACTCCGGATGAATACAAAATTCAAATCGTCCGCCTTCGTTATTTTTTTCGAGCCGAATTGGTTGCGTGGCGGGAATAACAGCCGTGTTATTTTATTTTCATCCCTCGTTTTAATACCAATTTGAGGTCAAAGGCATAAAATCGATGAATCCCCGCAGGACTATTCGATCAGAGCGATAAAATGTGAGCGTTGATGTTCGAAAAAAAAAAAAACCGAATAAACAGCGAGCGCAACGGGAAAATTACAACGCACACGTAATTTAATTACAATAAAATTTTATTCCATAAAAAAACATGAACAAATATTGCGTATCAATAAAATTACAGTGCATAATGTTATGCATTACTTTGGAATCTCACAACTGTTTGTCGATGTTGAAAGCCTACCTGAATGATAATATAATTGGCAATTATCTCATCGCAAATGCATTTGCATGCATTTGTTGTACGAGGGAGGAGTGAACGACGGTATCAATGAAGCCCACAAATATGCTCCTGCGAATAGCAGGTTTCAATCAATTAGTAACTATGTACAATCGATACTCAAGAATATTCCCAGACATTCAATTTCAATTGTTCAACCCATTAAACAAAACATCTCTTTCTCTCTGAAATTTTTCATCTTTCGATTCCCCTGAAATTTTTTGATTGAACCGCGGATCCTTCAGCCGAATCTCCCCGAAAAAAACCCAAACATTTTCCAAACGCGACAGCTAAAAAATTCAAGATTGAAATTGAAAAATATGCGATGAGCGCTGAGGATGATCCGGCATTTTCATACAGGTATATTTTCCCCTCAAAAAATACAAATAGAAATATCGGAGTAGTCTCCCTCGCTCTTGCCGCGCTCTCAACTCCCTTTACCTTTGAAGTATGATTTCATTCGATTCCTGAAAAAAATACTTTTCACAGTATACCCCTAAGCACTCTCTCCGTCTCCGATTCTTTAACATCATTTCACTCTTATAAAAACGTTCTCTCCACGTCATTCATCACACACTTGCTTTAATCCTCAGCGAGTCTCCATGGAAAAATGGATAAAGGAAAAATGGGATTGACAGTAACATTGGATCGAGGCGGTCTGGCGGCTCTGGTGATCCACCGTTGCGTCCACTCGTCTGATTTAACCGCCAATGAAGAGCCAGGGTAGCACGACAGTGACACAAAGTGCTGCCAGACAACTGGCACACATTGCCAATGGACTCGCTGCCATCTCATTCTGTTCATTATCGATTCCGTAGTCCTCGTCTCTCTCGTACTCCCGCACTTCGACGTCACATCTGAAGCAAACGCGAGTCGCCTTTGGGTGAGAACTGTCACGACGGAGAAACAATTCTGATCCCTTTCTCTCTAATTTCCATCCTGGCTCTTGCAGCAGCGTCCTTGTCATTTGCATCTTAACTATCGATTTTTCGGGGCTGCTGAGGTAAATCGCCTCCGGCAAACGGCAAAAGATCCTTCAGATCCTACTCTGATATCCGCTATTTTGGTCGTATCTGAAAATGAGAAATTTCGGGTTTAGCTTGGGAGATTCCGGGGGCGAATGGCGATGCTGTTCGGCGGCAATTCTGGGGAAATAATGAGGGCGCAATGGGGCAGTCCTTTTATGCGATGAGTTATCGAATTTAGGAAAGCAGAACTTGGGATTATTGCACATTTCTGGAATACGTCTGGCAGATAAAGTTTATGGCGGTTTATTTGCATGTGGGTATTAAAGGCGGGGAATGCGATGCGAATGGAACTCTTCAGTTCAAATTTTTATTGTTGTCTCAGTGAAGTTGTGGAAATTTTGGTATTGAAAACGAGAATTTCAGGGAATTGATCCATTCAATCTTAAGTTCGGTATTTTTTCCTCTTAAATTGAATTAAATGTCCCCCTCGTGAGAATTACTAGTCAATTTTTTATACCAGCGCATATAAAATTAATAATTCCCTACATGTGAATGAAATTTTTATTAAAGTCTCAGTGGAATTCTTCATGGAATTGTTCCACTAAAATTCATAAAAATCGGGGAAATATATTCTTGAATGTTCAATGAGATCTTAAATTCCATAATTTTTTCCTCTTAAATCGAATTAAATGTCCGCCTCGTGAGAATTACTAGTCAATTTTTATAACAACGCCTGCAAAATGAATAA